CCCACACACCCGACTGAAGACTGGAGTCGTTTGCCGAGCTCATCACACGTGTGCCACCCGCCTGCATCCATCTCAAGCCGCCTGTCTATTGAACGCCTCGTCGACGGCCTGGGTAGATCCGGGTCATCGAGACATGGCTGTTCAGACGTCGGACGCGAGTGCAGGGGCACTCCTGTCGGAGCGACACGGAGCCTGTCGGAGCACTCAGGCACTCCTGTCGGCACGGAGCCTGTCGGAGCGACAGGACAAGCCGCCCGCCTCGCTCTCCAGCCCGGAGCGGCGGCGCGGATGGCTGATGACACGTCTCACAGATCCAGCCTGAGGAGCTCCTCCAGCTGATTGCCAGCATTACCCCAGCAACGACGTCTTCCGCCGCGGCGCGTCCACCGCCGCGAGTCTGTGATTGGATGACATCGACCCCCGCCGGCTGCGCCACAGCCCGCCCTCCCTTCGGGGGCAGATTAGTCGGCGGTCCACGCGCCGCGCACCGACTCTGGGCTGGTCGGCGAGAAGCGCACGAGCTGCCGTCGGAACTGCTTGCCGACTGCAAGTAGACACAGACTGGTAGGCTCATCGCGCCGGCACCGCGAAAACGTCGGCAAACGGCCGGCTGCGGAGAGAGCAGAAGTGGGCCCTTCACGGCTGCAATGCGCTGCACCGGCGGAATTCCAAAACTCTTTTTCTGCGGTGAAAAGAGCCCGTTTGCAAACTAAGAATGCGAAGGATGCTGGCAAAGAGCCGTCACCGCGTCTTATTTTTGTTATTCTTAGCCTTGCTGCAGCGCTAACGAGGAGGCACGGGCTTCTGGAATTCCGATGAAGTGATCGACCGCTCCACTCGCCTGGGACTGCTCCCACCTAACCTCCGACTGCAACCGAGTCAATATTGACAGCGTAATCAGTCCTCTTCGGCCGAGCCACCGCCTAACAGCGCTATCAGTCCTCTGGGGCCGAGGCACCGCATCGACGCGAGAGCGCCAGCCAGCCCGGCGACAGTTACGCCGTGCGCGCGGACCAGGAACCAGAAAAGCACCGTTTGGTGTCGAGTCTGCCGCCCCCGGTAAAAACGCCGCCGCGCCGGACCCTGCCGGGCGCCGCGGCGCACCGGACGTCGCGCTGCACCCCAACCTTGCCGCCGCCGACCCGGCCGGCGGCCGTCGCTTCAGGATGCGGGACACGTGTTTGTTGTGGCACCGGCGGGAGGTCCGGCTCGGGTGCCGGCTGGCGGCGAGGCGGCGGCCCTGAGCGGCGTGGTACTGAGGGCTGGCGGCGCCGGCCGGCGGGTCACGCGGCCCTGCCGAGCTTCTGCCGCGGGGCGGTGTCACTGAGAGGATCTCTGAGCTTCCCACGTATGGTGGGGACGCAATTATTACACCAGCACCCTCCCCCCCCCCCCACCTCCCCCACCGCCCCAACGCAACTCCGCCCTCCCCTCGGGACCAGGAAGACCACAAACCGTACGGCGAGGTCACATACAGCGTTCGATATCCGCAAACTTCTACACGTCACGGTTTGATGTTTGGAATGCGCTGTGATTCATGACAACCTTGGACGGGAACGCGAATACAAAGGTTGCAAAGCTCCATTTGAGCCTGAATGATGTACGGCGCCTCGTACAGTTCAGGCGTACACCATAAAGCATGAATATGCAGTGGATCCAATCAGAAGCAGCAGCCGTTCTAGACATCAATCTCAATACACAGTCGCCATTGTGGATATGTGGCCCGGTAGCGTGGCGAGCGGCCGCCCCACGCCACCGAGGAAGCCGCAATACGCGGCCTCAGGGTAGCAGCGCTGCGCGGTCCGAGCGGATGTTTCTCAGCGCCGTAACACCCGTGTTACGCCGCTCCGGAATGACTGTGTTACGCAGATTCGGCAGCCGGCAGTCCATGCTCACCGGCCAAGCAGCCACGCCACGCGGCGCGGCTAGCGGGGCGGCCAGCAGGGACCGGGTGTCGGCCTGCCATCGCTGGCCGAGTTCTGTCGCTGGCGGATAATCGGCGCGCGGCGGCGCCAGCCGGCGGCCGCGCCAACTGCCGTACGCGCGGCACCGTAACGCGCCGCGGACGGGACCGCCCTCGGCCGGCGGCGCCGCTCCGAGGTCACAGCCGGCCGGGGTCGGCCGCCGCTGACAGGGAGTCCCGGTGCCCACCCCTATCGGCCGTCAGTAGCGGCCTCGGCGGGCATCTGCCGGGGCGGCAGCGGCGGCCGTGCGGAAGCAGCCTCACTTCCGCCCGACGAGCGCGGACGCCAGCACGGCCGCCGCTGCCGTACCAAGCTCGGTCAACCTGTACGTCGTAACGAGATGACATGCAATAGTGCGAAAAGATCAGGCATCTACACAGGAATCGGCCGGAACGCTTTGACGAAGCAGCCAAGTCAGACGCGGCCAGACCATCCCTTCTTGCGCCAAGCTAACAGATACCTTCGGCACCTCCGACGAATGTCACTCATTGTTAAAATGAATGGGAAAAATATATTGCATGTGCTCCCACCCAACGGACACTGGCAGGACATACCAGACAGGACATGTAAAATCCCGGCGGGTGGGTTCAGTTTTGAAGGCCATCCGAACCTTTCCAAAGTGACGTTGATAGTGATATAGTTGATAGTTGATAGTGCCGAGATCGCTCCAGAGAGAAGGGAACCGGACCGAGAGCCGACGGCACCCCAGCCACTCGGTCACGGCCGCAGTACATGCCGGACGCGACCCCAGTCTGCACAGCCGTCACCCGCCAGGCCTTGGGCCCGTGTACGACGACAACAGCGGCGGCCGCCCGGGACGGCGGGGTCACCGGTCTGACCCCGGGGCGCCCGGCCCCTCTCACGCCCGTCGTATTGTCTCGGCGCAGGCGGCCTCCGTGTGCCGAGAGCAGGGCGCGGCGGCGCCCACTGACGCGCGCTGGCAACGGCCGCCCGCCCACCGGCCGGCAGCCGACCGACCCAGCCACGACCCTGCCCAGCCCGGCCCGGCCAGACCTGTCAAACTGAGCGACGGCGGTGGCCGACAGTAGATCAATGGCGGACACTGCACTCGGCCGGTGGTCGCGGTCCGACCGAGCAGGCAGCGGCCCGCAGCGGCGCCGCCCCGCGCCGCCGCCGGCACGGCTGCGCCCGCCGCGCCGGCGACACCACCGGGCCATCCGCGAGGACATCGCGCGGCACGGCGCGGCGCGGCGCGTGCCTGGGCCAGATCGAGGCCGGCGGTGCCGTGACATTCCTCCGGCGCGCCGCCGGGTCTCGGTGCCGTGCTTCCGCCGCACATCACGCGGAGTCGCGTCATGTCACGCGCGCGTAGCTCGGTAGCGCGGGGAGGGGAGCGGCACAGGGAGGGGGAAGCGACCGGCCCCGCCAGGCGCGGTCTCACGACAGGGCCGAACAGAGACGCGTTGGCGGGCTGCGATACAGAGTCAGATAGTCAGGGTTTCGAAACAGGCCGCAGTGGCTGTCTTTTTCACTATTTGTGCCTGCCAATCGGATATTCAAAATGGCCGGATGCTGTCCATAGCTGAATGCGATCACTGAATTTCATTTGCATATTGGCCTGCAACTGTCACAAGTTTACATGAGTTTACGATCGGATCCCTGGCGGTCGACGGCGGCCTTCTCACGCACGGGGCGTGGTTCACCGCCGGTCGCCACGCCGTGCCAGTTGGCAGCCAGGCCGACCGCGCGCTGTCCCCCGCTTGGAGCAGCCACCGCGTCGGCACCCACACGCTTCCGTGCCACCCGCCAGAGGGCTTCCGTGACGCGCCGCCGCGAGGACTTCCGCCACCGGAGCCAGCTTCCATCGCCGGGCGACGGCGAAGGCCGCACCGGCGCCGGCCGTCCAGCGGGGCGGCGCCCGGGCGCGCTGCCAGATCTGGAGCACAGCTGTTGCCGCGTCGGCCGGCCGAGGTGACGCCGCGCAGATGGCCGGCCGGCTATGACGTCATCGGCGGCCGGCCGCCGGCTCCGCCGCGTCGGCGAGGGACGCGCCACCGGGCTGCCCTCCACACGTGCCGGCGCCGGCCGTAACGTCAGTTCGTGCGCCTGTTGCCCTGTCCGCCGCCGGGGCATCGGCAGCGTGCCACGCGGCGGTGCGTGCCGGCGGCCGAGCGCGCCGACGCCGGCGCCGCCGAAAACCTGGCATCGCGCCCGCCCGCTGGACAAAGGCCAGGCGGCGGCCGCGCGTGAGACTGCCTCCGCCGGCGGCGACGTGACTGATCTTCGCAGAACACACGGTGATTCAGGCTCGGCCGCCGCCGGGACCGCCGCGTCACCCGTGCGCCGCCGAGCCACCTCTGGGCGGCCGTGACGTCACGCACGGCTCGGCGAGCGCGACACCGGCACAGGATGAGCCGCTTCCGGTGGGGCTGCCCCGCGGCGGGCAACGCGCCGCGGCAGAGCAGGCAGACGGTGACGTCACGTGTCAGCTGCCGGCCGGCGGCGCTGCCGCTGTATCGCCGCTGCACGGCTGCAGATTAGGCGCCGTTGGTAGGCAGCGGTAGCCGGCGGCGGACCCAGACGACCCCCGGCCGGCGGAGGGCGGAGGCTCGTTCACAGGGCTGGTGGCGATGGCCGTTTGTGCGGGCGGCGCAGCGGCTTTCCACGGCCCAGCCAGTCCCCACGCCTCGGCCGCGGAGCGAGCTTGCTGGCACGGGGAGCACGCCAGACGGGCAGCCGTTCCCCGCGCCGCCGGCCGGCCGGCAAACGGACGTCGCCCCCGGTTTTTGTCGTCCATAACATGTGGCGGCGACGGTGACGGCAGCGGGGCGGCCGCGGTGGCGGGCGAGGCGGCGGCGGCGGCCGGCACCGCGAACAGGGGGGACCGCTGTCAAGGTCAGACGTCAGCTGAGGCGGTGGCCCCGCCCGCTCCCGGACACGACCGCGGCGGCCCCGAGGCCCGAATCGCGTCGCTCCCCGCCGCCGACCCGACTCGACAGCGGCCGTGACTCACGTGTGCGTGCGCGTGATCGATATTCGCCGCAGCTGCACGCCGTGCACCGGCCAGGTACTCACCTGTCGGCCGCGGGGACAGCAGTCGGGCGAGGTTCGTTCCTGGCGCGCCGCGCGCGGTCAGCGTCACCCGCGGACGTTCGCAGTCGCACAGTCGCCTCCTGCGGACACGCCCGGACGTCACGGCTGGCGGTGGGGGACGTCGGGAGCACGTCGCCGACCGTTCCTCCACCCTCGCTGACTCTGGCCTGACTGCCTCACCAACCGGCGGCCGGCAGCGGCGGCGGCGGCGGTGGCGGCGGCGGGCCGGATCGATAGTGGCCGCGGAGCGGCGCGATAGTCGATCCTCCGCTGTGGCGGTACTGAGAGGGACACGCCGGGCGGCGCGCGGGTGCAGCCTTATCCAATATCCATATCTCGCGGAATGGTATCAGATTTAAAGGTCGATGGGGGGGGGGGGCTTCGACGATCCCGCCAGTCAATCACGTTGTGCAGCGTCTAACTTGCATGACTTCATGGCAAGCGAGTCATGTGAGCGTTAACGGTGGGCATTGCTCCCGATCTTTTAAAGTTCTTTGACAGTTGGAAGGTTAACAATGCACTCCAGCAGACTGTTACGCTACGGTTCGAACTTCGCGATAAGTTTTCCCAGCTCTGGATCAGGTTCACGGATTCGCGACGTTCAAAGGAGCGACGACCTCTGGCTGTGGACGGGCCGTGAAAACTCCACGCCATTATAGGTATCTATCATAAATATTAAGCTGGTTTGGCAATCGTCCCATTAACGACACTCTCGCTACCAATTCAAGGCTGGGTGTCTCACAGATTCGACACCGTAGTTGCCATAAAGAACCACACATTCGAGGACAATCGCTGTCCTGAAACAAGGAAAGCGGCAGGAGAGTGCACAATAGAAACGTTTCCTCCTGTCCGCTGACCTTTCACTGTCAGACCTGTTCCAGTTCCTCCCTTCGTCACTTTCTCAATGCTGACGCACACAGGAAAGCGCACGGTCGCTTATGACACCACCAGTCTCCAATTTACCGGCTTTATTTGAAATACCGGTAACACGTGCCGGTTCCAACTAAACAAGGGCGATATCAGCTCCCCTTGAGTACCATATCAAAGCACGCGTAGGGCGTGTTTTTGAGGTCCGTCCCATATCCGTGTGAAGCCCATCCGTACCGAGCAGCTGGGTCCGTTCCGGCCCGTCGTCCGCCGCGGAGGCGGCCACTTGGGACGCAGCGGCCGGCGGCCGTCGGGCCGATCACCCACGTGCGCTAATTGGCGGCGACAGGCGGCCGGAGCGGGGCCGGCCCGGACCGTCCATTGGGCGGCGCCTCGGGCCACCGTGGACAGATCGTCCGGCCGGTACACGCCCCGTGCCAGCCAGCGGCAGCACAACAGCTACGCCGTGTATTGAGCGATGCAGCGCCCGGTGCGGTGTGCGTACGGATGGGTGGGGGTACCCCTACGGCTACGATGCTGGTTATCTCTGGAGCATGGGCCACCGGCCAATGCTGAATCCCAATGAAAACCTTCAAATGTCGCCAGTATGGTGGCGTGGAAGAGCATGATAGAGGGACGGAGTTGTCCTGAAACGTCACCACTGTGGTGTTTCTGTACGATATTGGTGTTAAGAAGTGACACAGGTTACTAGTTACGTGCTTCAAGCTGTCAGATTCCTTGTATCGGAACATGTCTTAAGGGATTCAGTTTACCGACACATTGTATTCAGTTCGGAACGTGGCATGTTATGGAATACTGAGATTAGCATACCAACTAGCACAAAAATACAAAAACCCGTACACAACAGATGCAGCAAAATTCATTAGTGTAAGGTGCTTGCACTCAACGCTGCAATAATTTTGCAGTTTCGTACTTGGCGTGAGCGCGAGGCATTAGTAATCCGAAAATGACAGTAATCGGCTCGTGGCGTTATTGCCGAAGACCAAACGCGACAGTAACAGCCAGATTTGCTGCCTATGAATACTGCTGTTGGAACCATCGGAATCCGAACCTTTCGGTAGTTTCAGAAAAAAACAATGAGGATAAAATTGGAAGGCCCATTTTCTTTCCATATATTGGATTAGTCATCAAAAAAGTTAACGTGAGCGAACAAACAAAAAGTTTTGTTGTTACAACAAGCAGCCAACTGACATTCCAAACAGAAGCTTTTAAAACTAAACAAGCCGTGAAAACTGACAAGCGCAACCGTACCGGCAATAAGAACTGCAGAAGCGAGGGCCGGCGCGCACAGACCACCAAATGCTCCCGTGCCCAAACCATGGGGCCCACCACCAACCGCGGGGAATTTTTTAGGAATTACGTCAAATTTCAACCGCCAGCACAGACAAAGACGTGACGTGACGTGACGTGACGTGACGTGACGTGACGTGACTTGCACGTTTTTGGTGAAAGTACCGGTTACAACTCAACAACGGTGAAATAACCATCTCCAGCGTATCTCAAAACTGCCCGAGTCAGGTACGTCAGCAAAAGACCAGGGTCAATCCTTTAAGTCGCTTTTCAATGTAAGGAACTGTACCCTAAAACGGAATCAAGGGGGTCATGAAAACTAGACATGTGTTTAGGCTTGTTTGTTGTCGCCAATGTCCATCCAAACCATTTGCGTTCTTTACAGTGCTCGGTCATAATCCACAAAACTGTACGTCATTGCCGATCCGCTAAACGCGTTCATTTACACGCGCCCGGGTGGCCGGCTAGATACCCTTAACTCGGGTGGGGAGAGGGTCAATTTGACCCCCCCCCCCCCACCCTGGGATCTCGGGAACAAAGATAGCTAGAGACAAAAAATTTCAGGCCATGTTGATATGTCCAAAAATAAAAAAATAATCAAAAGTGACCCAAAAACCTAGACAACTGTTTCTGAGCAAAAGGCAACAAACTCATTTAAGGTCAGTGACCTTATTTGACCTTTTGAAGGTCATGCTGACAAAATCATACAAGACTCCTCTGGGTTTTGCAGTTAAATAAGCGACAAAGATTACGCTAGGCTGTATGCTCCTAAAAACAAAATGTCAACTGGGGTCATCTTGGGTCAATGGCCTATTCTGACCTGTAACACGTCAATTGAAGATGTATTATGCGGTTCCTGCTATCAATAAATTCGAAATGAGCACCAGAAACTATCCCATACAGCAAGCCCTAGAGTAATAAAACAGGTTGGTTTTGACCTTGGTCTGACCTTCATACCTGACCTAAGGTCAACTGAACTTGCTCATTCAATACTTGTTTTGCCTAAGAAAGCATCTCAGAGATGTACGGCTTCGCCAAACACTCCGTTGTTGCATCAGATTGAACGATTCTCTAGAAACTGCCTTCGCTGAAACCATGGCCTGACTTTGACCTGCCATATGTCAGCGACCTCACAAGGTACATCCAAATTTTTGTCAAGCGATCTGCTATTCAATTGTCTACAGCTATGCAAAATTTGGAGCGGACGCGCCGCGCCGTTCGGAAACCATTTTGGAAAAACCTTTGGGGGGTCAATTTGACCCCCACCTGAGCGCGTGGTAAATTTGGCAAGTCCGAGCAGGCTCATAGCTAGCCATTTTCGCACCAGTGCCAATTGCGAGCTAGCGCGAGACTACTGCACCGTGGAGCTCCATGAAAAGTATACCATCTAAAACGTCAATAAAAATCATTGGTATCAGTAGATGAATGTGTCTGATTTCATGGTATGGTTTTGGGCATTACCTCCATAACAACTGAGATCACTCACGCAAATTATTGCCTTGCTTGTCCCACACGGGACATAACATTTTACTGGAAATGCCCATTCCTCCCACACAGGATATCACATCTTACTTGTAGCGCCCATACCTCCCACGCGGTATATGACATCTTACTGGTAACGCCCATTCCTCCCATGCAGGATATACATGTTACTGGTAATGCCCATTCCTATCAACCATCTCTGTGGTGCAGCTGGTAGATCCCCGTGCCCATATCCTTAGTTCAAGCCTGTCTTTGGTATGTTCTTCCTCAACCAGCTACCACCCATAAGATGGCAGCAACTGAGGGGTGACTGCCCTGTTGAGATAAAGTAGCAACCAGCACCCACAGTGGGGGGGTTCACAGACGCAGTCTGCCTTTAAACTGATCCAGTGGTCCAAGGACCCCCCCCCCCGAGCACATGGCCCCACTCTGGCCCACCAGAGCAGGTCTCTAACCATTCCACCCAACTGATCTGCATAGGTCTGCTGTATTGCATGCTGTGGTGAGCATCCTGGCAAGAAGTACACTGCCAGGTACTTCCTGCCAGGTGTCACTGTCATTTGACACCTGGTTCAAGGTCCATTTGCTTAAGTGTCAAAAATAGCACATCTACCATGCACAGTGTGTCATCATGCAATTAACCCAGAAATTCCCCATAACATGGTCATGCATCTTAAACTATTGACTTGCCTTATATATTCCACTTAATAAAAAACCCAAGACACATTTGGGCAGGTAAGTGAAAGCAGGGTGAAACCACTTTCAAATTTTGCCATTAGATTTTCAGAAACTTGTGATTGACACCAATTATTTTTGCATTTCAAACCTTGACTCTAGCTTGAAAAAACATGTTCAAGCAAATCAAGGTCACCCTAGCTCAACAGTGTTGGCTCATTCCATACTTGTGACAACGTAACCCAGCCAGGCACAAACATGGAACTGAATCGTTCAAGGCACACTGGAAACTTTACAAGTTACTTGATAGGCATATGAACCTACAAGGCTGATCATTTACAAAAGGGCACCTGGGATGGATTTTTAAAATATTCTTAATGCTTTGCAGCACCAACCTTGGTCCCCTTACTTCAAGAACCTTTTGCATTTGACGCTTGTCCAGAAAAATGCAGTAATACCTCCACATGAAGAAAAATACTGTTCTTGCCACCCAGCTCCACTTCATGCTGCAATGGCTGTAGTTTGGTCTTGAGCAAAGACTGAGCATTACTTAATAGTTATTTACCGCAGGAATTTCAATGGAACAATTGAATATAATGACCATACTGACAACAGGTGGTAATTTTTTACTTGGGTACCTGTATGGCCGACGGAGGGAAGAGCTACGCTAGCTGCAGGGTTTGGAGTATTGTCGTGCGGGGCAAAAGCTGTGAGGCATCAGCTAACATTGTGACGTCACTGAAAA